GCTTGCAGGAGTCTACGTGGAACTGCGTATCAAACGCCTGCAATTCTGGCAACGTCTGTTACGACAACCAGAACTTCACTCCAATGTTTTCGCTGCTATGTTCGGGTTCTTCCCGTTTGAAACAACCCCCGCGCTGCAAGAGGATGGCTCCTTGTCTTCTGCAGCGCATCCGTGGCTCAAACAGTTGGTTGATGATATCGAAGCTCTGCAGGACATCGCCGATCTGGAGCATATCACCAACGCAGTGGACAGGAAGCCGTTACGCCTATTCAGCCATGACGTTAGACTGGATTTTCTTATGGTTGACATGCCCATTCTCCGGCGCAAGTTTCTCTGTGTGGAAATCCCCCCACCAGGATACCAGAGCCCCTCAGTGCAGGGAGAACAGGCTCCCGAAGACTTGCCCGACATTCCAGATGGTTCTCTGTGCGGTAGAGCTTTCAAGTCGAGCAAAGCCTTGGCAATACACTGCACCAAGCTACATGAGCATTCGCCGATGGAAGCTTTGCTTGTGGTCACAAATCAATGCTTGTTCTGCAGGGAGGTTTTTGCAAATGTTTTTTCGACGCGGAGACATGTGGCGAATTCCCTCCTACAGCAGCATTGCAGTGGTCGGTCTAGTGTTGTCAACAGGGCACCAGATATTCCGGACAATCTTGACTGCAGCATGTGTGACGCACAGTTTGAGACTCTTGAGGCCTTGCGCGATCATTTGGGGCAGCATTTGGGCGCACAACTATAGTGAGAGCGTAGTCGAGAGTTCCTTGAACGTCATGGATAAGTGGGCGGCAAACGCTGGAACTCCCAACGGGCCGGCGCTGAAGCGCGCGCAAGTTGGAGGTGAGAAAGACGAGCTTGTCCTGAAGGCGGTTCAGCTCCTCATGAAGTCCAACTTGAAGCTGTCTGCAGACGTACGGGCCTTGCAGTCGGCACTTGCCTCATCCCATCTACGGCCTCTTTCGTGACCAAGGCGAAGGAAGCCAGTCAGAAGTACAATGACCTCGTTCAGGCCGCAGGGAAGCACCACGACCTTGGCCCTCCACATATCCATGTGTGGGCAGCGCTGACAGTTGAAGCAGCCGTGCGTCTCAGCGGAGAGATGTTGCAGCGTGTCGAAGCCCATGCTGCTGAAGCCGACTCTCCCAACAAGTTGCTGACGGATGTGCTGTACTGTCGAGTAGCTCCTGCATACGGTGGCAAGCGTGTGAAGATCTACCTGACCACTACTGACAAGCTGAGAGCAGTAGCTGACGCCTTTTTCCATGCGTTCAAAACGCAAGGAGGGGAAGAAATGTTCGGCTTAGCTGGCTTAGCTCCCAAGGGCGGCCTTGAGCGTGAGCTCCAGGCGCTGTTGGAGGAAATCCAAAGCAAGTAAGTTGGCCGAATCCGTAGCTAATGCCACGATCGTGGGTGAAGGCGCCCACGTCCGGCAATTAGTGAGGGGGTACTCGCAGCTACTCGCAGGTCCGTGGGTGGTCGGGGGTGTGTTCTTGTCTGTGTTCTGTTCTTTCACCTCGGCTATCCCCATGCGATCTGCATTGGGTCAGTGCCTCCACTCCAATCGGGGAGGACAGCAGGCGACTGAATCTTATCATGTTCCCAGAGCAGAGTGCTCAGCTAGGCAGACTTTGACTCGTCCGCCATTCAGCTGCGTGAGTGAGTGAGAGGTGGTGGTCCCGTGGTGGTGGTCCCGTGGTGGTGGTCCCGTGGTGGTGGTCCCATGGTGGTGGTCCCGCGGTGGTGGTCCCGTGGCGGTGGTGCGTGGTGGGTCCGTGGTGGTGGTCCGTGGTGGTGGGCCGTGGTGGTGGTCCGTGATGGTGGTCCGTCCGCCCGCCACCGACGTTTCGTTTAAATTGCTTTATATTTACGTTATAGTTGACTGCTTTCTGCATTCGGGTTCGTGGATCCTATCAGGTTTGGTTTTTTCTCCTGACCTCTTTTCTGGCTTTTTGTTTGTCTCTGATTTTGCTTTTGTATGTTTTCTGAATATTTGTTGTTCTATAGTTTTGTGAATCGTTTGACCCTTGCGGCTTCTATATATTTGTGAATCGTTTGACGCTTGACGCTGGCGGCTTCTAGAGACCGGAGGTTTGGTTTACTTTGTTTTCTTGCAGCTGAGACGTCGAGTTTCATGGATTTTGCAACTGATGGATTCTGCAACTGTAAGGTCTCTGTTCTGCTTCTTGCACAATTTTTTCTCGGAGGCTACAGACATAGTGGGAGAGTGCTTCGCACCCCCATTTTGCCATTAGGCAAAAAATCCAAGTTGAGAGCTGGGTGGCTGAACATGATGTTCGAATACGGTTTGTGTGTTTTGCTCAGATGTGTGATTACAAAATTCGTGTTTCGGCCTTTTGTGACAAAAACTTAATGTGCATGTGAAGCCACTTGTATGGCCTGGCAGTGCCCCCCAAAGGCGCGCGGTCGCGGGCTCAGGTCCCTGGCCGAAGTACCTGTTCATCAATCCCTGCAAATTCTTATTTTGTTGTGCCGCTTTCCTTCCAGGAGCGGAGGATTTGTTCAGGCTTGCTGGATCTGGCGGGGATCCTTCGCGTTTCTTTAGCATCGACTTTGCTAATAGCACATCGAGCTAAGGAAAGCGTTCGCAACGGGAATGTCGTGTGCAGTTGAGAGCTGGGGTGGCTGAACATGATTTTTGCAGTAACACAAATATTGCACATACTCCGGTGTTTCGCTCGCTTCGCTCGCCATCTGGATTGGCAATGCCGATGGGTTTTCAAGATAGTGCACACAGTTTGCAGACAGTCTGACTGCCTCATACAGAGCATACCTTCTCGGATCAAGCAAAGTATCTGTTCTTATCAGTGTGACAACTGATATGTCTCCAACTGGAGACTTGCTTCGTTGTTTGTATTTGTTTCTTGCATTTATGTTCGAAAAGCAGAGAATACGTAACCTAAGTTGAACCCGAAACCTTCAACCCCAGCCCGCGGGGTGTGCTCCCTTGTTGGCGCTGGCGCTTTAGAACCTGATGTTCGCGCTTTTCTGAGGGCAGATTTTTTTTGGGACACTTGACAACACGGTTTGTGTTTTCCACTTATTCTCTTGTTTTTGTTTCTCGTGCTTATGTTTCGACATGATTGAAGAAGTGAAGAATTGGTTTAAATTCCATCCCCTCGTTTCCTGTCTTCTTGCGTTCAGGAGAATAAGATTAAATTTCCGCTGTCGCACACATAGGTTTTTGGGAACCCCTGAACTTGTAGTTGGAAGCCAGGGTTCGGAACTCTATGATCTCGAAACCCTGGGTGCGAACTCTAGGTTGAGCGGTTGAGCCCTTTCAACCCCAGGTTCAACTCCAGTTTGAACTCTTTGATTCAACCTTGGGCCTAGAGTTCGAACCTGGGGATTGAACTTGAACCTGGCATGCTGCCCGTCGGGGCCAGACATTCCGTTCATGGGTTTTGTGCAAACCTCGATGGGAGTGTGGCGTATAGATATATCCCTCTTATTTCTGCGTTGGAGATTGATCCTGTGACCCGCGTCGCCGAACTTTGTGACCTTGTTCCAGTTGTTGGGCTGCCAGACCTCAGCCTCCGAAGACTAGAGTTTTCATCATCTTTAACTCTGAGGCCACACGTTAGGAGATCTGGACACTGTAACAAAGTTTGTTGGAGGTCGGTGCTTTTTCCTCGAGGACCAGAAAGTGCACCCAAGTTTTCTATTCTATGGTGCGCCCCAATGTATTGATTGACGCCAACGTGCAGTGCGCCTGGCATAAAGAGTTAACACCACTTCCAACATATCTGACGCCCCCTTGCGTGGAAAGCCGCCGTCTGAAAATTTTTGGGTGAAGGCAGGTGTGACTTCAGTGCTCTTGTGTGCTCCGTCCTTGGGGCGAGTGAAGGACCCGTGCGTGATTGTCAAATCACACAGATCACACAGAGCGGGTGCGATGCGTGCTGGTGCTTTACTTTTTGCGGTCTGATGCCCCAACCCCGATCTCTCCCCAAGGGAAAACACAGGTAGAACGACCAAGCTTAAATCCAACCCCCCTGCCAGACCAGCTCCCAGCTTCAGTTCAAGTCCACATCCAAGTGCTAATCCACGCGCGCCCTCCGCTTCCCAGCAAGAGGAGGACCAAGTCCAAGTCCAAGTCCAAGTCCAAACACGTCGGAGGTGCGCACATCAATGACCGTCGCGAACGAAAGGGGATGACCAAGTCCAAGCCCATTGGACCGGATCCAAGTCCAAGTCCAAGCCCAATCCCAACGCAAAGTCCAAGTGCAACCGAGGCTCCCCCCCACCGTGGGTACGGTCTAAAGACATTGCAGAACAACCAAGAATTATCAAACATGGCCTCACGGCGCACCTTTCCGTTTTCAAGCGGTCTTGCATGGAAGGGTTAACCCAGGACACTGTCAGGGCGGGCGAGCTAGCTCATTTGGCTATATGTTCTGGCATCGCCAGCAATTGCCCATGCCATAATAGAAGGCCTGCAAGGACGTTGGTTGGTGGAATTCGTGTGTTGTGCTTCAACTCCACTTGTCGTAGAGTTAGCTTTGCAGCACGACGAAAAGCTTTTGTAGAAGGAAAAGACTTGTTTGCGACATTGAAAAAGCAGACGATGCCCTGCTCGAGTTGATTCCCCGAGAATTGAGCAGCATCCTTGATGGCCCTTTCACTGGACAGGCGTTGCACAATTCGCGCCCCAATTTTCAAGAGGTTTTCAACGTTCACCGGGCGCAGCATGTGACAACACAGGTTTCATTATATCTTATTTGTTATGGCACAGGGAGCACGTGACCGCTTGGACTTTCGAGTTTCAGATCGTATGAGTAAGCGTTTTTCAAAAAACGTCAAAAATCGACGCAGTTCAAGTTTGTATGCAGATCACTGCGGATAATTTGGAGAAGTGTTGTTGAAACAAATTTCAAGTCGAACCCAACATTCGAGGGATTTCGATTGAGTTTTCCCGCACAATGGTTGCATGTGCATGATTTCAGTTCAGCAACGGGGCATTTCAGTAGAGTGCGTCAGTCATGGTCAGTGCTCATGAGGATTGCTGCAACTGTGCTTTGACGGGGGTGTCTGATGGGCAAGCGTCGGCGTTGGGCAAAGATATCGTGCAACGGGCCAACCGCATGCGACAACCAATTCCACAGGATGACTACGACTATTTGTACAAGGTTGTTTTGGTTGTTGCCCAAGTTGGAAAACATGTTCTTGCCACTGGTCGCTTGCCTTCGATACCTTGTGCAAGCGCTGTCTAAGGTTGGTGATGCAACTGTTGGGAAGACACACTTATTGTTACCAGCTCGGTTGACCGGCCATATGATCCTCAGTGGGGTACGAAATCTGCAGTAGAGGTCGCGATACATCAAGGGGTCATTGCCGAAGAACCCGACGGCAACGTGCAATGCCGAGCTTGTTTTCATAATTGAAGAATCTTGCATGTGCCACTGTAGTGTTTGTCAGGATCGGCGTTGAGTTTGCAACCCGAACTGTGCCACTTGCTGTCGATGGCTTAGTGTGAGCTCATGTGATCGGTTTATTCATCACTTGGACAGCTGTCACTGGCCCTGTGGCGTGCAGCGCTTAGAGGTGGGCGGTACTGTCAAAGCACAGATCTGGGACACCGCTGGCCAAGAAAGGTGGGAAGACAGCAGCTTCGTCAGATTCGTGTTAAGCACAACAGTGGAGGTACCGTGCGATCACTAGTGCTCACTACCGGCGAGCTGTGCGCCAGCCGCTGCTTGAAACACCCATGTAAAAATCATATGAACAGGTTTCAGAAACATCCGTGGCAGGTTGGTGCTTTGCTCGTCTACGATATAACCAGGGAAGGGACGTTCAAGAGCTGTGCAAAATGGATGGAGGTGAGGCGTATGGAAAGCAACATTCTTTTTCCTACAATATTCAATGCAAATTCGTTTTTTAGGAGCTGCGACAAAGCGCAGAACCAGACATCGTGATCATGCTCGTTGGCAACAAGGCTCGCATGAGTCTTTCGTCCTTTTGTGGTTCTATCTTTTCGGAGTTTTTGTGACTTATGGTGACCCCCTGCATGATGCACAGATATGTTAAGGTCGATCTGGTAGAAAAGGATCCTTCGCTCCGGCAGGCGTTCCTTGTGCTTGTGGGAGTTGTAGTTTTTCAAAGAATTTCTTGTCGACAACGTCGTGTGTTGCAGAATTCATCTGCCGTCCGTAGGTCTACTACGACGCAGCGCAGGAGTTTGCGAAGCTTCATGGGTTGATTTTTGCGGAGGTGGCCGGCTGCAGACGTGATTGCTGGCAAGCTTTGACGTTTAGCTGCCTTCGCACCGTGGGAAAAGAAGGCCAGCGCCGTGACGGCGCATAACGTGAAATACGCATTCGAGCACTTGCTGCAGGCTGGAAAATCTTCTCAGCTTATGCCGTGCTACGTCCTTGCTGCAGCAGCGGCTTGTTATGTGAAGGAGATCTATGAGCAGACCTCCAAAAGAAGAGAGCAGCAGAACTTTGACCACAACAATATGGTGGGTGGTGGTATACAGGCCGTGCTGTCCGTGCTCACAGGTTGTTTCGTTGGGTGCTTCAATCTGACTTGTGTCGAGGTTGCGGCAATCGGTCCAAAGGCTGACAGCATGCGGCTTACGATGCCCTGCATTGAGAATCATGGAGCTACGTGTCTGCTCGAGCCCAGGTTGTGACAACTCTTGCTGACCTCTCGAGGGATACTCCGCCGATGCAGCAGTGCTACATGAGACATGTAGGCATTGTTCTGCGAAGGTCTGGACAAGTATCCCGCTCACCAGGTTAACACACCCAGAAGCCCGTACGTGTTGACTGTGCTTTGCGACCGCGGGTGCAGCAGCTAAACCAGAAAGGCTTGAATTGCATGTTAGCTGGTGCGGAAGGGGCAACTAGGCAGATCTTGCTGCAAAAATGTGTGGCAGGAAACCTGCCCAAGTACGTGTGGCAAAGACCACCGGAGTCACTGCTTGTTGCCAATGCCTCACATGAATTATTTACGAGGGCTTTCTGCAGACTTCGATAGCTTTCGACCAGCTCAAAAGTGCAAATCCGCTTTCGCCCTCTCTCTCTCTCTCTCGCTCTCTTTGATAACGAGTCCATCGGCTTAGAATCAAGTCTACGACTATACGACTGCTTGTGCCCAGGCTTGTGTTATGTTGTATGTTCCCCGAGATCTGCTTTCTCAGCCATTTTGCACGTTTACTGCCGAAAATGAGTTTTCTACCTTCGATGCGTGGCTCAACCGGATTCTTGCAATCAGAACGGGTGTCTTGAGTCTCATCTCAGACAGCACTGTGGCTCAAGTCCCGGTGGCACTGGCCCATGTCAAGATGGCACCTGCCCAAGTCAATGTCAGAGCTTTCGGGCTTGGGGTGTGTGTGTGTGTGTGTGTGCGTGCGTGCGTATGTGAAGATTCCTGGTCAGATTTCCAAGGCCAAGAGTGAGCCAGTTCAGGCCGAGACAAATACTACCTTGTTGTTGTTTTGGTAGGCTGCTGGCTGTCCAGGGCCGCATCAAGAACTTCAACATCTTGTGGAATGCGCGGCAGAATGAAGTCATCGGAACCGAGGACATAGCGTACGGGGACCACATGTGATTTGCGGGGGAATAGCATACCTCTAGCACATTCTTTCGGGAGCTCGGCAGCAGAACTTGAGAGATTCTGGAGGACAAACTGCGATGGGCTATGCTAGACAAGCAGATGGAGTTTCGGAGGTCTCAGGGAGAGATCAGGACGCGCTGAACATTGGTCCACCTCAACATTGAGTTGCATTTTCTGCACTGTAAAAGGACTGTGAAGCTTCCAAGAGCGCGTGCCCCGGTAGCGTAGTCCCTGCTGCAATATAGTCTATAGTTGCGTTGAATTCCTGCAAGACCAGGCCCATACAAACATCGGCCCCTTTCCTGGCTGCACGAGGCAATGTGGTTTTTGTGCTTGAAGTCAGAGAGCCACGATCCCTAGTGAATGAACAGGAATGCACAACTCTCCCCTCGAAAGGCAGGTTCTTGAGTTTAATCTGTTCCACAGTGCATGTGGCTGTGTGTCTACATCGCAAGTGTCTCCCCTGCGACATGCAGAGCGCCGCCGTATGCTTCCTGGAACAACGCCTGTTGAGGACGGGCCCGCAGCTTTATCCTCATATGTTCAAGTTATGAACCAAACTCGGAGTTCATGTGGTTGCAGGGCAGACAGCGACAGCAAAATCCAGACCATGCGTGACAGTCTTTATGACGGTGTCAGCGGGACCGTTGGTATCCCAGATTTTTGGTGCAGCTTGTTTGGCGGACAAGGCTTTTTTAGTTGCAATGTTTCTTGGCTTCGACTCAGGGCGAAGGTCGCCACAAGTACCTGAAGTTGCGAGCAAAGACAAGCATCCAGTCACGGCGCGCCAAGCCGTGGTTGGAGTGTTGATCTTGTAGACACGGTCCTTCGAGTGCATGCCGTAAAGCTGGTAGGTATGGAGAGGAACCTGCAACAACATCGCATGAGTACGGATGGAGCCCTCCAACAGGCCTTCACCATCGTTCACCTGAAGCTGCTTTGTGTCCAGCGAGCATTAGAACTTCGTTGATGTTTCAACAGGTGAATACAGAGCATCCCCGCTCGAAGCCAAGATGCAGATGTGTCAAACTCTGCTTCCTCAGAGTCTGCTGTTGCAAGCGAGGTATTGTCACAAGCCCGGTGTGGCGGAAGCCTTCAATCGTCCAAGTGGTGTGATCACGTGCAAAGCGCTCGTTTGTTTGTTCAGCGGCAAAGTGGTTGCACAATGTTGCGCAGTGTTGCAGCATGTTGCAGCATGTTGCACAATGTCTTTCACAGGTACAAGGACTTGCCTCTCCAGTCGAAGCCTTGATGAGGCCAGATGGTTCGGCAAAGTTGGGAGGTTCAGGTGCGATTGCGATCAAGTTTACTGGCATTTACTGACCCAAATGTGGAGATGCTACAGTTTGCCGCTCAGAGGACCAAACTTGAGTCATGCGCGCCAGTCCCGTTTGCAAAATACAGGGCTTGCTACGGCAATCTAGAGGATGTCCTCCCCCAGTCTTACTCTGCTGACCGCGTTTTTCCGAAGGCAGTCGTCTCATAGCTCGCGGATGACTTCGTGAAGCGAAGCTCTGCGTTTCAGAAGGGGAGCCCTGCAAGTTTGCAGAAGTGACCAAAAGATGGAAGTGCCATTGACATGCTATTGGCCTGTCGGATGTGTACTCTGGCTGGCATGCGTCTTGTTCAGAAAGCTACGTGCTCTTGTCTCAAGTCCCCCTCTTGAACTTGGTAGTTAGCTCCGCATGATCGAAGATCACTGGCCGCCGCTTAGCCTGCAGTTCTTGTTCCCAACCTGTCCATAGTCCATCACGGTGCTTGTCTAGACGAGGATGTTCCCACAGCTTGGGCCGGTTTGAGCACTGAGGTCCTGAAGGCATGAGGGCAAACCGTGCTGGCCCAACGCGGTCTAGGCCTCAGGTCTGGCCGAGAAGTGCTTCTGTCTTGGAGGCAGACCGTGCGCACATCCGTGCACACATGTGCGCACTCTAATGGTTTGAGCTGCTGGTGCCTTCAGACCACACCTGTACTGCCCAGGCCGGCACCTCGAAAGCAGGGGGTGGGCTTGATGAATGCGGGCTTCCCGGTCTCAGTATGCAGTGGATTCAGTGGGTTGATGAGGGCAGGACAAGCCATGCGTGATCATGTGCACGCGAGGCCATTCAGCGGCAGAAGAACAGGCTGCTCCTTTGGAGATGCTTTCGCAACAAAGCCCATCAGTGCTGTCCTAAGCCAGGCCTCAGACCGCACCACGGCCGAGGCTGGGGTGCTTTGTGTGTGCGGCCGACAGAAGCAACTATCTCTTTTGCAGCCAACGGCTGCCCTTCCTCTTTGCTTTGCACGGGCTCCTTCAAAAGGGTCAAGTTTGTGCTGGATGCGGAACCTGTCTTAGCTACGATGTTTGGAACATGTGGCAGTTGCATCCAGTTCAAATAACGTCAGCCCAGATTATTCCAAGTTCTATAACATGTGAGTTTTGTGAGTTCTTTGAACCTCTGCCTGGGTTGCTGAAGAGTGTGGGCAACCTTACATCTGGCAAGTAGCTGTGTGCCAGCAGCTAGCACATGAGGATCGGAACGAGTGTGATTGAATCTTCGGAGCCTCCTTCTGTTAGATGGAACTAGGCGTGTGAGCGGCAGAGTATCCGTTCAAATTGCCGGTGTACGTGTCAAGGGTGTCAATCTCAATGCACAGCATTGCTAGACTTTGCACAGTGAAATGACACACCAGCAAATCAGCCATCACCCGGCTCTGCATCCGGTGTTAGTTCTGTGTGCAGACTTGCCGATCGTCTGTTCGCGATCGGTAAGTCTGCGGAGCGAGGTATATAATGGCAATGTGACGGAAAGTTGGGATGAACTGAACAAGCTGAGCGATTGTCCATTAAAAGGGGTTGAAGGAGCTCACGTGGAAGCATCGCATTATGTGGCTTGGGCAACTATCTTGCAGGGAGTCTCCTGCCAGTGATCCCGATTCCACATTGGTCCGTTCCTCAAGCGGCCGTTAGCCATGTGTTTTGGCAACCCCCTGACCAATGCGCAGATCGCGCAGATTAGTTTTGTTGTTTTGCTCAGTCATGTTGGAAGACTTCCTCACAGGCTGCACCCGCTCCGGTGGCAGCGTCATCAGGCACAGGACCGGCTCGGATTCAACGGATGGGTGTGCTGCAAATTTGGGAGCAACCAGTGCACACGGATGGAATCAGCCTCGTCGATGCCGAAGTAGTCAGAGTACTTAGGGTACTGCAGCAAGGGGGTTGGAGGCAGAATGCAACGAAGAAGTTTGCGACACACTGTGCGAGCAGCGTTGTTGTGCATGCTTTGCAGAATGTGCTGGGAGGAGGCGTTTCGCCAGTCCAGCGAGCGCGGCGACCTCGACAAGAAAACGACGTTGTTTGATAACAACAGAACCCAGTCGAAGTTTGAGGCCCACTGCGGACCTGGGCGCATCACCTGGGCAGTCTGCAGAGCTTCATCCTGAGTGGGTGCTGCACCACAGTTTTACGATTCGACTGCGATTCAGAAGCTGGACGCGATTCAGGAAACCGGGATTCTGGAAAACTCCGGCGATTCGGGAAACTACGTTGCTAGCAACCAGGCGATTCCGGAAACTGCCTCATCGCGATTCAAAAAACCATAAATCATAAAACCACATGATTCAGGCAGCCGGCTTCACTTGAATCAGGAAACCGCGTTTCAGGAAATCACGCGATTCAGGAAACTGGTTCCACTCGATTCAGGACAAGATTCAGGAAACTTCCCGACTCGGAAAGCCATGCAATTTCAGGAACATGCCCCGTTCAGGGTTGTCGCTGGCTTGTTCATGCCCCTGCGTTTTTCAAGTTTCCCGAATGTGCGCTTTTCAGCTTCGCGGCGAATCCGTGGTTTCCAGCTGCGGCCCTTGAGGGCTTAGGGTGAGGCAAGCCTGCCTCTATTTCTGAGGGTGGCGCAAAATTTGATGCAGAACAGTAAGAAGTAGTCAGCGGCTGCAGTCGCCCTTGCAATTGTCCGAATCTGCCCTTCCAGTTTCCACAGCTGTCCTGATTCACGAATCCGCGGGTTCCCGAATCCGTGTTCTTCAGATTCCCGAATCACGTTTATTCAGTTTCGTGCTGGTGCACGCATGCAGAAGCACGTGCGCAGTGCAA